AAAAAAAAAAAAAAAAAAAAAAAAAAAAAAAAAAAAAAAAAAAACTAAACTACTATGATCACCTGCTGGGCACTCCATGGTGTTCTGCATGCACTGTTGCAAATATGTTTCCTTCATCATTTTTTTTAATGTATTAGAGTTATAATTATTATACTGGACAGAAAAAGAAAGAAAAGAAAGAAAAAAAACTGTTTTTGATGGAGATGAGGGAAAAGGTGAAGCTATATGGACGCGTGAAAAGAAATGACGTGTAACATGATATTGTTATATATATACCTCGTGCAAGTTCGTGTAAATTGATGTTGATTTTTTTTTTTTTGGGGGGGACATGTTATTCGGTCAGAGATTCAATGGAATGCAACATTATCTTCATTCTCATTCTGATAGCCCATTGTCAAGTGAAAGTAGTTTGATCATAGAAGAAATGAGTAGAACCAGTCCTTATAGCCCAGAGGAGAAGAAGGTGAGGATTGAAAGATATAGAAGCAAGAGAAACCAGAGGAACTTCGGCAAGAAAATTAAGGTTTAGTCTTTTTTTTTTTTTTTTTTTTTAATTTTCTTCTTAAGATGCTGTGTGTTTTAATTCATAAAGCTTTTCTATTATCTATTTTTTCAATAAAATTGGCGTTGGGCCAATTCAACTTTAAGGGCTAAAAATTATATATTCCAATTCCATCAAAACATGGCGATAGTTTTTGTTCACATTAAAGAAAGAGTGAAAGTGGACTTGGGCAGTTTTCAAGAAACAGCAATATAATGGACAAATGAAAAGGGAAAACACTGCTGAAAAGCCATGCTGCCCTTTAGAAGGTTGCATCTTATCATGCTAAAATCATATCGAGGGTTGAAAGTCAGGGGAAATAGTAAGAAGTTTGACAAATCCTGATCTGAGTAGTGATTCTTTCAACACAAGGATTCGTTCATGATCTTTGCCCGATGGAGACCTGTTGGCCGCACAAGAGATGTTAATTGAAGACTATACATAATTGTTTGTGATATCAGGTGCATGTTAGTGTGTTGCAACCGGTCCTGAAATGTGTGATTTGTGAAGCAAGAAAAATCTTCTCACATATTTGTCTCATTCTATAGGGTAACTAGCTACTAGCCCCATTACTGTAACGTCTAGGAGGGAAAAAATAAATAAGACATGTTATACTTCTCTCCAACACAGTATACTTTAAATAGCTTTATTGGTCCACCACCACACTGTTTAGTCATGAATCATGACGCAATCAAAATATAAATATTAATTTGTTCTCTTCTTGGAATCAGTATGCTTGCAGAAAGACATTGGCAGATAGTAGGCCACGTATCAGAGGACGATTTGCAAGGAATGATGAAATTGCAATGAACCCCCCAGTTCAGTGGAGCCACATGGCTAATGGAGAGGAGGAGGATGAAGAAGAAGAGAATTGGGCCAATTTCTTTGATTCCTTAGTTCCTGAAAATCTTCCTCAAGACCCTCAAGGCAGTTCCTCCTTTGGTGTGTTTTATTGAAATAATTGCATGCTTAAACCAGCATGGCAAGATATTTAATTAAGTTGTATGTTTTCCATGTTTTGAGTTTTGTAGTAGGTAATGTAAATATATGTACTTATTTGAATCATGGATGTGACCATTTGTAGTTTTAGACTTCAATCTGGGGTGAAGTTTTTAGTACCCTTTATGTTTTTCATAGACTAGGCCTCAGTAGCAGCAGCATTGTATTGTTTGGATAAAACCTTTAGCAAGTTGTACTTGGGGTTTATAATATGATGTATTTATAAAGTTATATATTTTATACTATATTTTTTTTGTTGTACGTTAATGTGGGGAAAAAGAAAAGAAGCAGTAAAAGAGGATACCCTGGAAAAGATAAGAAAGGTAAAATTTGATGGTGACCGTGACTTTCCCCATGGGGTCTTCTTCACAGTGAAATTTTGGACACAAATGGAGTGCTCTGAATTTGTCATCAAGCTCGACATAAAAGCCTCTTTTTTTCTTTTTTACTTTACATAAACATGTCACTCTAGCAAAAGGGCAAGCAATTTAGTTCCTGGCCATAGTTACATTTGCATATATTTCCAATATGGCATTGAAGAATGAAGAATGGCAAAAAAATGTCAAAAAGCATGGAACATGGAAGTAGGGGGCACGAGCCACGTCCTTAGTTAGCACTCAGCAGGTTTGAGCTTATGAAAATGATATGATAATGCACTTTCACTGAAGCAATCAAGCCTAGAGTCAAATCAAGTCTTGTCGTGATAATCTTCGTGTTTTTTGAGGTCAATACTGATCACAAATACAAGAACTTCAGTGCGATTATGCTTAAAACGGCGAGAGCAATCACAAGAAGTCGCAAGAAGATAAACTTTGTGTGAAGCTAATATCTCTGCTACATTTCACTTTTCTGCAATGAAGTACCGAAAGTCCAATGTCATTATTAGCCTATCAAGCTGAACTTCAAGGATCAATCATTTCTTGGATTACCAGTGACCGCAAAGTAGATTCTCAAAAATATTTGCGAAAATTTAATCTAGTCTTAGGAGCAATTTCAACCAACTAGCATTGGATATTTTTAAGAGGCTGCTTGCTGGTATGAACGTATCTATATTCAGCTGCTACAAGACTTGGGTGGACAAATAAATCTTAAAAAATCAAAACAAACATCGGATATTTTGGTTAGGGGGCTACTTGCTCATCACATTATGGTAATCTTAAAATAATCCAAGCAAGCACTGAATTTCAATGTTGGGCTGACATTAAGTAGAATTAATCTTAAAAAAACAATAAATAATAAAAAATATTTATGAGTTAAAAAAATTGTATTAATTTTTTCATTCTTATATTTTACATAGAGTATGTGATAAGAACCTTGGGAGCCACAATACAAAAAATAAAAATAAATTAACTTTTGTAATTGTAGAATCCAAAATCTTATAAATACTGTGCAGGCCAACCAAACATTTTTAAATATGAAATAAATCTTGAAGTGAAAATAATTATTAGACAGATTAAAAAAATTAATATATTTAAGATAATAGCATAGTTTTAAAAATCGAATTGATCATCAAATTGATTAAAGCAATAGATCAATAAATTAAATGTTATCAAAGGAAAAGAATACTCGTCACCTAAAAAAAAACTGAGCCAATAGAAATTCTGAAATTGTTGTCATTACAATACCATTGTTGTAGTGGACCTTGTTATAGTAGTTATCTTCTATACCTTTTTTTGTACCAATTTTGTTAGCATATTTTGTCCATTTATTCATTTAGTATATTTTGTCCGTTCCTTTATTTAGTACTTTTGTTGTGTGTATATATTGACATTCCAGCTCTACCTTTAAAGATAAAAAAATTAAGAAACATTCATTTAGTATATTCCCGTGTTTTTTTTTTATTAAGATTAAATCAGTAAATCATTAAGAGTGTGTTTGGATGGTTAATTTAAATGGAGTAATTCATTTGTTTGAAGAATTTCAAATTCTTTGAGGTGAAATACTTTTTTTGGATGGAGAATTTACAAAGAATTTGAAATCCAAGCATTTGCGAAATTCCTTAATAAAATAGTAGAATTTTAAATTCTCTCAAAAAAGTAAGAATTTGAAATTCTTCATATTTTTTTTTGTTATTTCACTTATATATTTTATCTTATCTCTTCATATTTTAATTATTGAATATTAAAAAATACTTTAAAAATTATTAAATATTATCTAATATTAATTTTTTAAATTATTAAATATTTAAAAATTGGCTTAATATTTTTTTTATAAAATTTTATTTAAAAATATCAGCATATAAATATATTTTAAAACCAATTTTATCATGGTAGAATCAAATTGTCATATCCAAATTAACAATTTAAAATTTTAAAAAAATTAAATTGACTTATCCAAACAAAATATTTTAAGAATGATAGAAATTGAAATCAAAGTAATTTAAATACCAAGAATTTAAAATTCCTTGAATTTGTAAAATTCTTTATCCTAACACACCATAATTGAATTGTGTGACTCGATCTCTATTAATTTTTTTAAAAAAATATATTTGTGTTTTATAAATTTTATACTTATAAATTTCAATAAAATCATATCATGTCCTAAATTTAAATTTTCATCTTATTTAAAAATATCTTTATTCTTATTTTATATGGAGAAATTGCATGTTGAATTATATAAATTAATACAAATTAAAATATAAATAACATATGCATGTGTATAATGTACTTGTAATTTTGATGTCACAAAATAATATATGTGGTATGTGCATATGTACTATATTATTAAATATATATAATTTAAAGTTAATAATATACTATACAAATAATTTAAGTTGCCCGTATAGCAATTAGATTGATTGGTATAATGGTATGTGCAACAGAGGCTCTTATGTTTACAAGAAAATTGAGCACATATTCTCTTTGATATCTTTTTAAAGTCTTAGATGGGAGCATTAGTTGAACCATATCAAGTTGTTACTCTTCATTTGACTGGTTGAACCAAAAAATTCGTTGATTTGTAATAAGTTACATACATGAATGATTGAATTCAAGGCTCGAATCACCTAGGTTATCAACTCCTAGTTTAATTGATCCAATTGATCCAAGACAACTTTTTGAAACATTGGGTAATAAGAAATTTTGTGAGAATAAACGTATTTAAAGGAGAAGCCTTTTAATATAGATAATTTATTACCAACAAGTTGTTGATTCGAGTAATACTTTGGACCTGGTCCTTTTAAGCAAGGTTTTAAATTTGAATCTTGTGTGTGAAAAAAAAAATGTAATTGGGAGAGAAAACTCGCTATAAATAATCAGTCAAGTTTCTTAATAAATATTACCCATCGACGAGTCATGAATATTTTATACTAATAATATAATTAAATGAAATATCTTTGTTGATTTTAATTAATGAGAAATTGTTTTTAAGTACAAAAAAATAACAAAAAGATTTATGAGTTTTACAAAATTAATAAAAATATTAATTTTAAGATTTTTGTTTCTAAGGAGCTAAAAGCAAAAGTTTTATTAGCCTTGTGATGGACCAAAATGGTGAAAGAATATACTAAACTGATAATATTATTAATAAATATAAACAAAGAATATATATTTACTATTGTTATATAAACAAAAACTATGTATATTATTAGCATTGATAATATTATAAATAAATTAATATTAATAATATTGTTAGTATAAATTTAAATAAATTAGTATATATATATACATTAAAATACTTTAAAGAAGTATAAATATAATAAACACGGTATAAATATATGATAATATTTTTAATTAAAAATATACTATATACATATATATTTTAGTGAGTAAAATTTGTAAGTTAGATACTCAATATTATACCATGTATTTTTTAAATAACCCAGTTGTAATATATTTATGTTTATTAATGTATTAATTTAAAAATTAATATATCTTGCATCATATTTAATATTATTATCATTAATTTATCAATAATAGTAATAATAATATTAATAATATATATATATATATATTAATAATAAATATATGTATAATTTTGGTTCTCATGCAAGATACATATATTATAACTTTTATTTAAATGTTACAAAGAAAACTATTAACTTAGTGGTTAAGTGCTTTAGGTAGAGGTTGGGAAAGGTTTTTAATCTGAAGTATTTTGAAAATTTGTTTTTTTATTTTCATTTGTCATCTCTTCATGTCATTTAATTGACACAGTTGTCAATCGATCACATTATTTACTATGTTAGTTGTTAGTATCATGTTGGTAAAAATGGTATAAAAAAAATTAAATTATACAATTATGATATTTCAGATACCCAAATTGTTCAATTGAAATTTGAGGAATCAAAATACATAATTGTGATATTTAAAGATCGAGAAATACGATAAAGTGATTAAAATCTACTTAAAGGAGGATGAATAAGAACTCAAAAGAAAGCATGACATTTGATAACTAATTTTTAGAATGACTCTCAATTATATTTTTTAAACACTATAATTATTTTTATATTTTTGGGCTATGGGTATAGGTGTCAAAAATGGTTTGACAAGCTAGGTTCCAAAAAATAAATAGTCCATCCAATCAACATACTAATCAAATTAAGTGATTGGTAAGAAAATCAAGTGTCAACTATATAAACGCGTTGGTTGTCAATCCATTTGACAACTTTTGACTCTGAGCTTATTTTGCTAGGTAATTGGAGCTTGTGGATTCACATTTGTTTATTGGACCCTTAATGGATCTAATTTGGTGACGCTTGTGTTGATTTATGTAAGTAATGCTAATTTCAATATATTTTGTTTACTTGTTGACTTCTTGATCAACTTTAGACTTGTTAAAAGTTGAGTTTTGATATACTTAAGTGTAATGTGTAAATAACCTTATGTTGGTTTGATACTTAGTTTTAATTCATATATGTATGACACAAGCTTGCGTGAAAAAAACTTTATTTTCTTTCTCATGTGTACTTTTATTTTCATCTAAGTAATCTATGCATTATTAGCATTGAATATTCCTTAACTCAATTCTTCATAAAATTGTGGTGTTAATCTCTCACTCCTTTTCTCTTTCCACTATTGTTTTTTCTCAATTGGAACGAATCACAAGTTTTCTAATTTTCATTTTCTTTACTTTGTTTTTGATTAAAACAAGGAGGAAATCTTTAAAAGAGGATGAAATGAACAAACATTTGACCCTTTTTGCAATTTGGAACTTCTTAAAAGTCGAAAAGATAAAGAAAAAATTTGTAAGATCCACATAGTTAAAATTTGTAGAATTTTAGATGAAAGAAAGGGGGAAAATGTGAGTTATAATTATTTTTATTAGAGATGTATATGCCATTTTAATCTTTTTACTTTCTTTACAAATAAAAAATATTTTTTTAATTTCACTTTTTATTAAACAATCTATAAATGAGAATCGCAAAAACACACTTTCTAATATTTTCTTTGTAACACACTTATTAAAATTTATTAAAAATTTCAGAATTTTGAGTAAAATCCTTTAAAGGATAAGTGAACTTACAAAATTTTACTCCTTTCAATAAATTGTAGTCAATCATATATAATATGCTTGAAAAATATGTATTACAGAATAAGTTACTAGTATTTATAGTTTACACAATCATCTTACTTTATACATTGCACTTTTTTTCCTTCACTATTTTTTTTAAAATTACTTATCAGGTCATATTTTCAAATTTAAAAGCATATCTTTCAATAAAATAATTATAGGTTTAGTCTGCTTCAATGTTTTTAGGATCAAAAGTATAATTTTATTTATAATTATTTATCTGGTTAAATAAATGATTCAATTATTTAAAAACAATCTCATGGTGTACACACTTAGCCGCGCTTACAAATTTCGTACAACATTTCAGAATTCCGCAGGCGGCAGAATTCCAAAGTCCAAACTGGCAAAGGCGCCAAAGCATCCACGTCATCGATCCGCACGCAATCCCTCGTCGAATCTCAACCGCACATTAAAAATCCATCAACGCTCCAAAACGCTTCCCCGAAACCCCTCTCACGGATCCACACACTAGATCACCACACATATAAATACAAACAAAATCTCCCTTCCACTCATCAGAAAGCGCACACCTTATCGTTCCTTCTCCTCTCGGTAATTTCAATTTAATTCCCCTATGCTTTCTTAATCTCGCGCTTAATCCGTTTTGGTTAAGCTTAGTTCTTATAATGATAGTGATAATTGGTGTATGTTTCGCGGTGCAGGTTGCGGTTGTTCTTGTTAGCGGTTGAAGATGTCTGGGCGTGGAAAGGGAGGCAAGGGTTTGGGAAAGGGGGGAGCGAAACGACACCGTAAGGTGTTGCGCGACAACATTCAGGGAATCACGAAGCCTGCGATTCGGCGTTTGGCGCGTAGGGGTGGCGTCAAGCGTATTAGCGGTCTCATCTACGAAGAGACACGTGGCGTGCTCAAGATCTTTCTCGAGAACGTCATTCGTGACGCCGTTACCTACACCGAGCACGCTAGGAGAAAGACCGTTACGGCGATGGATGTCGTTTATGCCCTCAAGAGACAGGGAAGGACCCTGTATGGATTTGGGGGCTAGGTTCTTTTTGTTCTTCCAATTATTATTAGATTTCCTTTGTTGGCTCTAGAGGTTTGTGTGGATGGATGTTAGGAACCATTGATGTTGGGAAGATAGATTTTTTTTTTTTTTTTTTCCTTTTGCAAGGATTGGGTGTGGTGGGTTGATGGTGGTGCTTTAGGGATAGTTGCACAATAACGTGTATTGTAGTGAGGTATCTGGTCTGTTATTGCTGGCAAGTTTGTAATTTGATCACTATATATTGTTAATGCTAGAATCACCTTTTTTCTGCTAATTGCCATGGTGTAGTTCGTTTTTTAAGTAGATAATTTATCTTTCAAAATTCAGACGCACACTCTTATTAATCTTGGTATGTGGAGGGGATTTGCATGAGTAAATTTGTTTTTGAATTTGGAAGGTGGTAGGTAGTGTTAATTTAATTCTTGAAATTAAGAGTTGTAAGTGATTTTTTATTTTTTTTGGAAGTACCAATTCACAAGTAGCAGTTAAATTCAACGAATTACTAGATATTTCAGTGTTTATTTGTTTAAATTTAGTTTCAAAGATTAAAGAGAATGCTTTCAAATTTAGCTACCAAAATAAGTGTTTTCAAGAATTTGTGCATGTGTGGTTTTTGTTGAGGTTTGGTTAATGAGCCACTTTTGTTTGAGCTCAAATTTTGTTTTAGTTAGGATGTTTTTGAATACCCGTTCCAAAGCAAGAAAATATGGATTTTTATTCTTTAATGTATAAAGTTTAAAAGTAACAAGATTATTATTTTGAAATAAAAGTGGGTTAAATTGAATTCAATTTTTATCCAAACACAGTTATTCGCCACCTGGGTTTGTGTTGGCACTGTGGACTGTGATTTTGTGTCGTGGCTGATAAGCAAGTTGCTTGTTTTTTGTGGTTTTGGCGTGTTTGGAAATGTGTACAGCAGAATACTTTAGCGTTTTGATGGCAACCCTTAAAGGACCATTTAGTCGGGCTAAGGTTATTTTCCCTAATAGTGTGTAGGACGAAATTCTTTTACTTAGGTGTACGCAATATTACTGTGACAATCTCCTTTGCTTGTTCCAATGTCTTTTTGTATTGTTTTGCTCTTATGAACGGAAAAGTTTTCGTTTAATGAAACTTTGGAATTTGGGAAAGGCTTTAAACAATAAAATTGTTGGTGGTGGTCCTGCAAGAATTTCTTATATGGTTCAGGATCATTAATTGTTTATTATTGTTCTTAAGATCATATCTAATTGGTTTTTATAATTTATGGAAAATACTAATAAAAGTCTAATGTAATTTTTTAATCTTTGTTTTGCGCTATGTGCCCTTTCAAGTTCCAAGACTGAGTACAAAGTCTTGTTACAATACTTGATACTTTACAGAGGTATTGAAAACCAATGGTGGTTAAGTTCAAGGCTGACTTATATATTATTTTTAATCAAACAGTTTGAATTACCTGTTCTTTCTAATCATGATATTGTTGATGTTTGCTAAAATTTTGATACAGCACATGAGCACACTGCACATTATGCACCTACTTTTTTATGACTAATAAAGGTCAAAAAGTTTGGAAGCGTATGAAACAAACCATGAAAGAAAACAAAATGACAGTATGTTGAACAACTTCTTCAGCGAAATTGCATGCTTGGCAATTGGCCAAAATACCACCACGTTGGCAGTTCAACTTCAACAGAAGAACTTAACGATTCAGATTTTTCTCTGGCTGATGAGTTTGGTAAGGTACTTAATTAACATTCACACAATTGGCACCAATTTTTCAAGATAATCTAACTGAAACATCATAAATCAGATGTTTAAACTGGATATAAGTGGGTTACAATTAAACAAACATGTTTCATTAACTTGACCTTTCTTTACAAGTCTATAAAATGCCTCAATCCTCTGCAAGGAGGCTGAGAACTACCGTTCAGAACACAAACCACTAAAACATTAAAAGAAGAGTAATGTAATGCAGAATTCAGAAGATACAATACTCAAAATCACCTCCCTTCAGACTTCACCAGCTGTGAGAATACCCTACTCATAGAAACACCAGACAGATCATCCAGACTTGAAGCTTCAAATTGTGTAGCAGAAACACTTACTTCTTCGTGACTGAAATTGTTGACCTGTGGAGAGAGTTCACCAATCATATTGGTACTATTTTCTTCAGGATCACCTTGAACAACAGCCTCTTGAAGCTGGAGAGCATATTCCAAATTCCACAAGACATCTCCCATAGAAGGTCTGTCAACACCAAAGTCAGCCAAGCATTTTTCAGCAGTTTCTCCAAACTTCCTAAGAGAATCTGGTCTGATTTTCCCAGCAAGTGTTGGGTCTATTATTTGCTCCAATTGCCCTCTTTTCTGCCATTTCATAGTCCATTCTGCCAGGTTCACCATTTCTCTAGGAAGGGTTGGATCTATAACAGGTCTAGCACAAAGAACCTCAAACAGAACTACCCCAAATGAATACACATCTGATTTTTCTGTAAGCTGTTGCCTCCTGAAATACTCGGGATCAAGGTACCCAAAACTCCCTTTGACAGCTGTGCTCACATGTGTCTGATCAATTTCAGGTCCAGTCTTTGATAGCCCAAAATCAGCAACTTTGGCCATGAGGTTCTCATCAAGCAGGATATTTGCAGACTTCACATCACGGTGAATAACGGCTTTAGAATAGCCTGTGTGAAGGTAATGCAGTCCTCTAGCTGCTCCAATGCATATCTCAAGTCTCTCCTTCCAACTTAGGCTTGGGAGGTCTGAACCATACAAATGACTTTTGAGAGTTCCTTTCTCCATATATTCATATATCAAGATCATTTCATTCTTTTCGTCACAATACCCAATCAATGATACTAGATGGCGGTGGCGAAACTGAGACAGCATCTCAATTTCAGTTTTGAACTCAACAAACCCCTGCTGGGACCGAGGATTCCCCCTCTTGACTGCAACTTTAGTACCATCATTTAATTCTCCCTTGTAAACTTTACCAAAACCACCAATGCCTATAACCCAACTCTCATCAAAATTATTTGTAGCCTCCTGAACAGTCGCAAAAGGGATACGGTACCCAAAGTTTGAAGCAGCACTTGCTGTTGTGGCATTAGAATACTTACTTCCCATTGTGTGAGAAGTTCCGTCATTGATAGATATGGGAATCCATGTCTTTGAATGCCCTTGTTTCTCCAAAAGTCTTCTTTTCCTGCGTAGAAAAAAGAAAACTCCAACCAAGACCACTACAAGCAATGCCCCGAGACTCACACCCACTATGATGCCAACTTTCTTATGACTTGAACCAGAAGTACTAGTCAGAGGCACAGCTGTTGATGAGCTGAGACTTCTCTCAGAGTTATTCATTTTCATGATCTCCAGCCCATTCAAAATAGCATTAGGATAATCACTACTCAGATCAGAAGGGCCAATGCTTACAAAAACTTTGTTGCTGGCCAATGGGGCTGTAATCAAATCCTTAAAAAATGGAGCAGCCAAAACATTATTATTTATTGTACTGAGATCAAGATCCTTAGCAGCCCACCAGGAGTTAATGTAAACATTGAAGTAGAGTTCATTGAGGCGTTTGCTGATTATGTCACAGAAGTGAAGTCGAATAAGGTACTGAAAATGAGGCTCCACAACAAACTGCCAAGTCACATTGAAATTGCTTCGTGGATCACCGGCTGAGTTCATCTGTGTTAGAGTCCCATAGACAGAAGGTGGAGCAGAATTTTCTGTTGGCCCTCCATTTACATACTTAACAGCACCTATGTTTGAAAAATTACTGGCCAAGTTAGCTTGTATAAGGAATTCCTTATCAGTAACCCAAGTTCGTTGAAGCGTGTCGCTGGCAGAGGAGACAGTTGGACCACCCATGTTAACCCTGAAAACTGTCTCCAATGCCTGTGTCCACAAGCCAGAGTATGTTCCTGCTGGATTCAGGGTGTAACCATCATCAATAATGAGATCATCAGGAACTGAAACAACTTCAATGGCATTCACAAAAGCAATGGAATTGTCTGAAGGGGCAAAGGTGATCACAAGGGTGTCTGAGGTCACATTTAGAGAGTACTCCTTCATAACAGGATTTTTCTGCACACTAAAGTCACTGAGAAGAACATAGTTCTGGGTGGTAACAGCAAATTTTGCAGCACTCAAATTGTACTTTTCATATGTAAACGGAAAGAAATAAAGACGGATCCAATGTCTCCCCCTTTGGTTGATAGGAAAAGTGTACTTTGAGGGTGCAGTGAAAATTCTTGCGGTTTGATAAAGAGGGGAATCACTGGAAGAAGTGATTGATTTCAAGGAGGTATTGGCAAGAATATCTTGTTCGGTGGAAATGAAATTGTTGTAGAAACTATCCGCTGTGAAATTGCGGGTATTTATTGAAGTATTGGACGATGCTCCACAGTCTATGAGGTAATTATCTAGAGGAACAAAGTCGGCAGAGAAACATACCAAGGGCAAGATTGATAAGGCACAGATAAATAATCCAAGTTCTCTAAAATCCCACATTTTAGAACACCCTTTTTCCCTTTTCTCCCGAATTTTCTCCCTCCAGCCTTGTGATTTTATCAGATGAAAAGTACTGGTACATGCAAGCAAAGAAAACGAAGCAATGATTCTCTACATGTCAATCACAAAACCACAAAGGGTAAAAAAGAAACAGAATAGAAATGAAGACAGATTATTGAGGCTTTAGACACAATACCTTCAGAGCTCTCACAGCAAGCCACCACCAAATAGCAGAACACAAATCTGAATACCCTTTTGGCTTTTGTTGTATTGAGAGGAAATCAATGCAAGTGATGAGAGGAGAAAACGAAAAGCATGTCCAACACGCATCTAACTCAGGACAAGCTGGTATAAACTGATGACAACGTTAGCAATTGATATATATTGTACTAGATTCTTTTGTGCACTACTTTTTATTAAAATAAATAAAAAAATAAAAAATAATAAAAGAAAGGGAGAGAAAGAGAAAAGACTGAAACAGGTCACAAGATTTTGTACAAGATTGAAATTGAAAAACGGCTTAAGGTTCAGGTGTATGACCTGGTTTTCGAAGTGAAACCATGAATAAAAAATATAAAAAAAAATAAATTAAGATAGGTGAGTTGGTTATTGGTTTGCATAACAATAAAAAGAAGAGTTAATGAGAGTGTAATGCAATGATAGTGGCAAGCGCAGAGTAACAGAGGAAATGCTTGTGGGCTCGCTTTTGCTGGCAGTGACCATCAATGAACCGAAAAAAGTTGGTAGTCCTGCGCATAATATAATACCATATCAACTATCTTTTGTCTCAATTAATATATTCACCTATTAACTAGCAACATAAGTATTTCACCATTCATAAAATAAATAAAAAACTAACGAAAACGACATAACTTTATTTTAAGTTAACCACGTTATTAGACTTAATCAAAGATTATATTTGAAAATGGTTAAAATACTTTTTTTTAAAAAATATTTAATTTTTTAATCTTTATAATTTAAAATAATATTTTAAGTATTTGTATTTTTTTAATTTTTTTTTATAATTTAAGATAAATATTTTAAGTTTTTATCATTATAATTTTTTAATTCTTTTAAAATTTGTTATTAGCTTATTTTTTAGCGTTATTTGTATTAATTTGATTTAAGTATTAATTTAATTTTATGTGTTTTATATTAAAATTAATCTTTATATATCGATGTTCATTGTTGGGTTACATTTATTTTATCCCTACAAAATTAAAGATTTCTATTATATTAACACAATATAATATAATAATAATAATAAAATTAATAATAAAAATTAAATTAAAAAAAAAGTAAATATAATGATCGAAAAGGTTTATGTTATATTATATAGACTAAAAAAATAATAAATATAAAAACTAAAACATCTATTTTAAAATTCTAAAACTAAAAAGTAAAATAATAAAATTATAATGAAAAGAAAAATTTAACCTTTAAAAAAATAACCATTTTATAACTGGTCGCAAACTAACATAAAAGGGAAGAATTGCATAGAATTGAACCTTGACATTGACGTAAAAATTCTCAACAATACAAATCTGCCGCTCACGCCAAGTTGATAAAGACATGATGTTAGCTGATAATGTTACATGTACAATAATTATATAATATTATCATTCATTTATTTTATTATTAATATCCACGCAGTGTTTTAAAGTGATTTGGGTGTTTGTAATATGGTCATTATGGCTTCATCGGAATGGTATAATCTTTCAGCAAGGTGTAATGGATTGTAAAGAAGTGTTGGACAACATTAAACTGCGGTTATGGAAGTGGATTAAAAGTTCTGTCCCTGGTTGTTCTTTTAGTTACTCCAGTTGGTATTTCAGCCCACGTTTGTGTATTTCATAATTTTGCTTAGATTTTGAACTCTTCTGTAATGGGTTGGAGTACCCCTTGTACTCCTTATAATTAAAATCTTTTTGCTTATCAAAAAAAAGAACAAGTGAATTGATAAAAAAAAAATATATAAAAATAATATTATATAAATTATTAGATAATTTTTTATTGTACATGTTTACGTGTCTTTGTGACAGAGCAAAAGTAAGAAACGGACAAGTGAAATAAATAATCCTAAAAGTGAAGTTTTCTTAATAAGGCTTGAACCCTTAAGAAGTGAAAATCCTTAAATTTTGGAAAGAAATATTTTGTTTTAGGAAAAAAATGGCGTCGGTATTAAAAAGTTAAATGTTTGAAATGCTTTTTTATGTCATTTTTGTAAAGTTAAAATATACTAATTTGCTATTATTCTATCTAATCTCAATTTATTTTTAAATGCACTAAATATGTTACACTACTTGTATGCTATATTATTATGTGTTTGTAAAAAAAATATTATTTTGTTAAGAAAAACTTTTTTGTTGATATAGAATTAATCATATTGATTTAGTTGTATGTTTCACTATTTTTTTTCACCTCATTGGACCGTTCACATAGCATGTATAGGTATTATTTTTTTAGCTACAACGTATAAACACGTTTTCTGCCACAATTTTGGTCAAAGTAAAAAAAGCATGAGAGAACGGAACATTTAATGTCAAAACAAACCGACATTAATTCAATTATTCAAATCTCAGTATATACCTTTGACAAAAATATATATTAATATATGAAAAGATTTTAAATTAATATTTAAATTTATTTTTAATCACTTAAATTTAAGATATTTTTTTTTATCTTTCAAACTTAAATTATTATTTTTAATCTTTATAATTTTTAAAAATATTATGTTAATCATTCAAATTATTAATAATATATTTGAAAATAATAAATTATGACAGTTATATAATATTAATTGGGTTTAATATGATATTTTCATAAATAAAAATATTAATAAATAAATTTTATACGATAATATTTGATAAATTTTTTAATAAAATTTTGATATAAAATAAAACAATTTTTTTGAAATTATAAAAATTAAAAATAATAATTTTTAAATTTAAAAGATAAAAACAAATTTATCAGGATTAGAAATATATTTTTAAAAAATAAATATATTAAGTTAGGAAGAAAAAAAAGATGATCATTACATGATTATACTCTTAGTTTATTTTTATTTTGGGAAAACTATTTTTATAGAAATTTTCTTTTAAAAAAGCAAAAGTTATTTTTTTATTTTGGGAAAAACTATTTTTACAAAAATTTTCTTTTAAAAAAGCAAAAGTTATTTTTGTGATTTATAGATATATATTTTAAATTGATCTTTAATTATCAACTTAATAACATATTTGCTCTCTTTTTTTTCTTAATATATATATATATATATACTAAATCAAGTAAGTTTTATAAAAAAATTGGATTAAATTATACTTTTGTTTTTTTTATTTTGTCATTTAAATTTATTTTATTTTATTTATCTTTTTTAAATGTTGATTTTTATCTTTTTAAAATAATGGTCACTTTCAATTATGTGACATAATTTTGAATCAATTTTTCACTGATATAACATGTGAAACTTGTAATATTAGTTTCACTTATATGAAAACTATGAAATGTAATTAACATTTGTATCTACAAGAGTTATAAACATAGTGAAAATCGTGTGAAAAAATATATCTTACAAATAATTAAAAAATAATATGAATAAATTTTTTAAAGTTTTCAATTTGTACAATATCTATAACACATTTGGTTTGAATTTCATTTACACTTAATAGTTTGTGTATAATTGAATATTATAAGATAAGTTTCAAGTTTTAAATCAATAAAAAAAATTAAATACTAAATTAAATTAAATTTAATAAATAAAAGATTAAAATGAATAATTTAAAAGATAATGACTAAAATGAATATAAAAATAAAATAAAAGAGAAAAAGTATAATTTATTCAAAAAATTTAAATGCACTCTCTATATAACGTTTTATAATATTTTCATTTTTTTATTTAAAATTAAATTCAACGTCTTAATATATTTTATTTCTAAAATAAATACGTGCTAAAAAAAATCTTTAATCTTATTTTTAAGAGATCGAAAACATTTTAATTACTAATATTTAACTTAAAAGTTAAAAAATATATTATTAATAATAATAAATTATTTATTTTTGAAATTTGATATCTATGCAACCCGGAGAAAGGAAACTACTTCCATATGTTTACACAGATAAACAACATATAAGGGAAAGTTAAAATCAATAATCATCTTGTGTATTTTCAGTTGCTGGCCATTTTAAAAATCATTACAGATTTATTGAAACTCCTGAAATATCTTTTTTGACACCAAAACTCCTGATATATTTTAATTTTAAAATATAATAACATTTCACTTCTTTTAACTTTATTATATAAAAAATTTTATCATACATTTTTTTTACTGCACGTCCTTCAGTCTTAACGTCAAAATAGTCCAATATAATTTGTTTTTCTTTACCCACAATTGTCACAAATAAATAAATATTAAAATACTTCTTAACTTCTATAATTTGACTTGTCCATACAATTTAAAATAGATAATTTTTAGTTTTTATATTTATATTTATATTTATTTTTAATTTCTGTAATTTAAGATAAATTTGTTTAATTTATATATTTGTAATGTATCAGTCCTTTTCATTTTTATTTTTATTTTTTTTAACATTATCCGTATTTATGTAAAATAGAGATCTTCAATTTTGACAAAAGATTAAAAATTTAATATTAAAATTAATGATTAAAAATATTAAAAACTATAAATATAAGAATGAAATTAAAATCTATAAATATTAAAAATATCTATTTTAATTTATAGAGACTAAAAAAGTATAATAAGTAAAATTATATGAAAAGAAATATTTAAATTATTAATAAATAAATAAACAAGTTGAATAAGGTAATAAATAGGATGCGTATGGGGAAGGTGAATGAGATGAATGTTGTAAGATGCGGTGGCCCGCAACTACCTCCTTATGAGGTGGACAAGCTTCACGTGGAATCAAATACTCACTCCTTTTCTTGCGTTTAACAAGCTAAGTTTGTTTAAAACAAAGAGCGTAATTCATTACACTAAGAACCAAAAAACCGAAATTGGGTTTCAATCGGTGGTTCTAACTTGTAAGACACACCCTAAGATATGGAATCTATTTATCTTGATCGATGCTTGAAAATATTAAAATAATGACCAATAAAAAATAATGTTATATAAGTATATATTTATACATATGGACCGACTCACCTTGACTCATTTTTTTTTGTAAAGATAGGAAAGATTACGAAGATAGTCGATGTAAAGATTGAACTTAGGTCTTCGTGCTTCTAACTACCTCAACTCCTTCTCACTCAACTACTAGGCTAACTCTAGTGGTTCATCTGGACTCATTTTAAAAATAGGTCAACCTACTCTAACTCACTTTTATTTTTCTAAAAAAAAAATTGGTCTTGCCCAACCCACTACGGGTTGGTGAGTTATACGGGTCAACCCACCAACCCGTAAAAAAAAAATATCATTAAAATTTTAAATTTTAAATTAACTATAAATTAACATAATAATCATAAAATTAACATCATTAATAGTCATAAGTCATAATTTATCATACAAAATTAAATACAAACTATGATAAAAGTTCAAAATAAAAAATTTCAATATCCCATTATACACAATTAACTATAAACTATAATCAAATTTTATTTTT